AAAAAAAAAAAAAAAAAAAAAAAAAAAAAGGGAGAGGGGGATTGGATTCGTAGATTGGATCTTGTAACTGTTTAAACGCGTGGTGTATTCTTCGAGTATCGGAGAGAAAATTGTAATTGGATTGGAAAAGTTGCGACTCGATCTAATTAAAGATCGTTCGAATGAGCGACGATAACGGTATTTTTTTCTTCCTTCTCGCAATTAGCATTTTTGCAATAGAGATAATATTCCTTTTTCTCTTCTTCTTTTTCTTCGCGTTTACGCGTATTTTGTATAATTTTATCATTATTCGTCTCGTATCGTGAGCAAGTTCGATTTTGTAGGGATTCTAGATTAGGAAAAAACACGATGAAAAGAGTTCAGGATTGGGTTAACGGTAACAGAGGAGGAGGAGTTGACCGGATTGGTCCGTGAAAGGATATCGCGTTAAGCAATTTCCACGAAACGATCGGGAAAGGGGATTTCTCGAGACTTTTCGATCTTTTAGGTGTTCCGGATAAATACAATTATTCCTTCTGTTTCTAGATATCGTGGAAAAAATCCCTTTTTTAAGAGAAGGCACGCGAGAAAATTTTTGTTATATAAATATAAATTTTTGTTGAGTAAAAAAACAATAATAAAAAAATAATAAAAAGAAGATATATCTAAAAAAGAATCGTATAATACATATTTTTCTTGTCCATCGATTGAAAGAAATTTTTAAATTAATAAATATCACGTTTCTATTATCGTAAATAAATTAATAACTCGCTTGTCTCGAGAACGAAAACAAATCGAGGCACGATATGTATACATATACGTATTAATATATTCGTGGAATTTAATTCGAGGAGATTAGAAAATCAAAATACGAACGTAATATCAATTTTAGAAATGTCGACGCTTTGAATACGAATATATAAACATAACCGCGCATAACTAATTCGTCTTTCGAAGGCTTCGCATCGTATAAACGCTTCTCCTTCCAAAAATTTTAGAATTATCGATAGAAAGAGTATTTTATCTGGAATAAAATCTTGCGGATATTATTTTGAATTGCAATATCGAGAAATAAATGGAATCTTGGAACACTTGGATGGTAAGAATAAAGACGATTAATTTTCGCGTAGTTTCGTAACATCATCCTTCCCTAACACGCTCGTACACGCTCGTTTCTTCTCGGCCTCTTTCCCGCTCACGCCTCTCTCGTTGTATTAACGAGGGGATCGAGTTCCGCCCCCTTGACTTTCTTTTGATCCCAGTCAGACATAGCGCTCAGACACTCCAGAAAGCTCATTTGCGAGCTTTTGACCCGAATAAATAAGTCAAGAACGAAACGATTTCAAGTTTCGTCGCTGGATGGATAGATCTTTCCGTGATAGATCAGTCGTGGATTAGAAGAGTTAGAAAATAAAATGAATCTTCCTTTTCTCGAATCCTTTCCTTCCGTAAATATTCCTTGATTAAAGAGAATTTTTTTGATTCTTTTTCAAAATTTTTCCAAAGAAATATATTATTCTTCTCTCGAATTTTATCGTTTTATGCGTTCCTCGTATATTTTGATTAAAGTTGGAAAAAAAACCTTTCAAAGATTATGGTTTAGAAAATCATTAGATTATTATCGAACGAAAATTTGTTAGTTTTTCAAAATTTTCCAAAAATTCGAATCATTGGGAAGTTTGAAGCGAAATTGTCTTATCAAACTGACAATACGTGTTTGCCTTGGGGATGTATATGGAGAAAGGACGCGAGAAGGAAAGTCTATAATAAGAATCGAAGTCGGTAGGTTTAGGAAGTTGAAGAGTTTGAAGGGAGGAGGGGGACACTTGGAACTTTGTAACGGATAGTTCTTTTAATGGAGATCTTAGGTTCGATTGTCTCAGATGTTTAGGAAGCTTGCTTTAGAGAGTAAATAGCAAGGGAACGTAATGGAAGTTGTCGATTGAGATCCTCTATCCTATTTTTCAAAGTATTTTTTTTTTAAATGCACATCCTCGGCGCTTAAAAAAAAAATACACAAAAGTAAGAGGAATTATTCTTTCTCTCGAAGAATAAATAGCCAATAAACGCACGCATTTTCTTCGTGCGGTATTTCTCTTGCATTTGCAAAATAAAAATCGACAAAAATAATTATCATCCTTTCTTCGAAACGAAACAAAGTAGAGAAGAAAGAAATCTTGGGATCCTTTCCACTCCATGGAACGCTAAGTTCTTCCCTTCTTCCCTTTACTTTTCACTCGAGGCAGCGAAAATTCCTCCAATGGAGGGATTTATTATTCTCAGTGGACAGAGGGGTGCGTGCACCATCCTCCTTTTACGATGACTTCACGCATGGAAACTTGCCCTCCCTTGCAACCCTTCTTCATTGCTCTCCAGAGCCTTCTCTCCTCTTTTCTTTTTATCTATCCTTCACTCCCCTTTCTCCCAATCCCCCAGAAAGAATAATCGTGCGCGTTCCATATTCTTTTGCAACCATCTCCCAAAGCTCCATTAAAAAAAAAGAGCTGCACAGTGCAATTGGAAATTCTGATTTCCCCCTTTCTTCATAAAATAATATCTTTTTCAAAGATATTCTTTTTATTTTTCTTTCGACCTCGTTTATGTAAAGAGAAATTCTCTTCGAATGTGATCACAGAGCGACGATCACATTTCCACGATGATAATGATGCTTAAGAATTTTTAGATCGACGAGAATACCTTCGATAATTTCGATGAATAAATACAGAAGTTAATATCTTATTATTTTCACCATAATTCATCATCATAATATTATTCTCGAGGAATGGCCACTTTGTTGCGATCTATCTAAAAAAAAAAAAAGAAAAGAAAAAAAAAAACTGGCTGGAACGCATTCGCATTTCTCAAAGATTCCATTCATAATAATATGCCAAACGACAGCCAGTCAATTTCAAAAGGCAAACTTTACCCACTCACCCACCCACCCCTTTCCTTTTCTTTTCCCTCCTCTATTCACTGTTGCTCGCCGAGCGCAAAAAGCCTCCAACGAACAAAACGGGGGAACGCGTCTGTAAAAAAAAAAAGAAAAGAAAAAAAAAAACTGACTGGAACACATTCGCATTTCTCAAAGATTCCATTCATAATAATATTCCAAACGACAGCCAGTCAATTTCAAAAGGCAAACTTTACCCACTCACCCACCCACCCCTTTCCTTTTCTTTTCCCTCCTCTATTCACTGTTGCTCGCCGAGCACAAAAAGCGTCCAACGAACAAAACGGGGGAACGCGTCTGTAAAAAAAAAAAGGAAAAGGGGGGGAGGAAAAAAAGCACGTTGAGACAATCGAGCGCGTATCGAGTTCTCGTTGTTTCGACAACGCGTGAAACGTGCAGCGTACGTGTTGACGCGTTGTTTCTCTGCTTGCAGGTAAAATAAAATACTCGGAGAGGGTGTACGACGCTTGCATGGACGCGTTCGACTGTCTGCCGCTGGCGGCCCTCATGAACCAACAGTTCCTCTGCGTGCACGGTGGACTCTCGCCGGAAATTCACAATCTAGAAGACATACGCAAAGTGAGTACAGAGAATAGAGTTTCATTGAGATATCCTTGTTGAGAGGGACTCTTTCGCTCTTTGGATATCGCGTTGTGGATGTGAAATTGTGAATGATGGTATTTATGATTCGTTTTTATAGTTTATCGAGGGATTTTATAGTTGATAGAGGGATCTAGAAGTTGCGATTTATATAGAATTGGAAGAGGAGATGGAAATAGTTTATATTAGGGATAATGGAATTTTTTTTAGCAATAATAGTTGTTTTCTCTTCTTAGACATATATATGATAAAAGTAGATCGATTTTTAGAAAAACTTGGTTTGTTATATCGGTTTGGATAGGAAATAAATTTTTTGGCATAAGGGTGTAATTCATACACTTTGGATCAACTGAATTGTATATTTTGTGTTTCATATTCCATTTATCAGTATATTAAAAGTATTCGAATTTCTATTTGATTAAATTAATTTACTCGTTTCGTTAAAATTTTTCGATAATTATTGTTAACTTTATAATATGAAACACAGAAATGACTCTCGAAAGAGATTTATATATAAAATTGGTCGGCTGTTAATTATTTAGTTTGAACCTTTCTAAAATTAGTTTCGTAAATTAAGAAGTTTGAAATTAGCACTTGGAGAATATTTCCTCGTGTTTTCTCGTGATTGATTAACGAGTTTCGGTTATTTTCGTCGATTTTAAAATTTTCCCCTCTCCATCCATTGAATTTA